CTGAGTACTTTCTATAAATTATCTCATTTAATCCTTATAACAGCCAAAATAAGTACTCTACTGTCCTCATTTTACAGATGAGGAAGCTGGGGTTTGAGAACTTATTAAATCTTGCCTAAGGTCATACAGCTAGTAGGTAACAGAACCAGGATTTGAACACAGACAGTCTGACTCCAGATCCTGTAATCTTAACTTTTTTGATGACAGCAGCAAGGGATAGAAAAGAAATAAAAAGTCGTAGTCATTGCCTTAAAGAAGCTCTTTGTCTAATTATGCTATATTATAAAATACAGATTGTATATGCTCTTCAAATTCTAAGAAAGAAACTAAGAAAAACAGACACTGAGAGTTGACATGGCAAGCCCAGCTAGTAATACAGCTGGCTCTGGGATCCAGTGTTCTGAACTCCCTATTCAGAGGCTTGGGTATTGCATGGCAAAGCACATGAATGCCAACTTTAATTTCTCAGCCATGTCTGGCCTTAGTAACTGACATTGAAACAGAATAGGACAAATAAGGAAAAGAAATAAAATAGGAACAATCACTGAGCCTTTCAAAGTAAGTTTTTATTAAGCAATTGTTAAGTGATACTGCCTCAGCCTACTAGCCCGGTCCTTTAGTTTTCTGGTTTATTTTTTAAAGTAGTTGGCACTATTTGGCACAATCCAAAATCAGTTTTTGTTTTGACACTGCTTTTTCTTTTTTGGAGACAAGGTCTCACTATGTTGCCCAGGCTGGAGTGCAGTGGTGGTGTCTCAGCTCATTGCAGCCTCAGCCTCCTGGGTTCAAGCAATTCTCATGCCTCAGCCTCCCAAGTAGCTGGGACTACAGGTGTTCACCAGCACGCCGCACTAATTTTTGTATTTTTAGTAGAGACGGGGTTTCGCCACATTGGCCAGACTAGTCTTGGACTCCTGACCTCAAGTGATCCTCCCACCTTGGCCTCCCAAAGCACTGCGATTACAGACGCGAGCCACTGTGCCTGGCCTGACACTGCTTTTAGATAGATCTGTTTTTTTCCTGTCTAAACATCTTGGTGTCATTTCTGTTTCAGTTTATGTTAAAGGAATTTGAAGCACGCAGGCAACAGCATGAACAACTGAATGAGGCAGCTCAGGGCATCCTAACAGGCCCTGGAGATGTCTCTCTATCCACCAGCCAAGTACAGAAAGAACTCCAGAGCATCAATCAGAAATGGGTTGAGCTGACTGACAAACTCAACTCCCGTTCCACCCAAATTGACCAAGCTATTGTTAAGAGCACCCAGTACCAGGAACTGCTCCAGGACTTATCAGAGAAAGTGAGGGCAGTTGGACAACGGCTGAGTGGCCAGTCAGCTATCAGCACCCAACCAGAGGCTGTAAAGCAGCAATTGGAAGAGACCAGTGAAATTCGATCTGACTTGGAGCAGTTAGACCACGAGGTTAAGGAGGCTCAGACACTGTGCGATGAACTCTCAGTGCTCATTGGTGAGCAATACCTCAAGGATGAACTGAAGAAGCGTTTGGAGACAGTTGCCCTGCCTCTCCAAGGTTTAGAAGACCTTGCAGGTAAGTTGGAGTGAAGAACATACTTCTGCCGTTATTAGAGGCAAGCAGAAAGAAGGAATGGGTTAGGAGTAGTCCCAAGAATCTAGGATTCCCTTACGTAATTTTTAGGCTCAGAATGGTGTTAATCCAATTCCTTCTGCTAGTTGCAATGAGAACTGCTGTGGTTGTTACACAGTGAGCACTTGCAAAATGTGAAGGTTTACATAGCATAGTCCTAAAGATAAAAGCTCTAATAAAATTTCAACCAGCAAGTAGAGATTCATCCCCATAGATGTACTAAGTGGAGTTCCACATATACTCTCATTGATACCCAATCTTTTTTTTTTTTTTAAATATTATGCACACCACACACACAGGTTCTCACTCTGTCACCCAGGCTGGAGTACAGTAGTGTGATCATGGCTCACTGCAGCCTCAATCTCCTGGGCTCAAGTGATCCTCCCACTTCAGTCTCCCAAGTAACTGGGACTATAGGCACATGCCACCATGCCCAGCTGTTTTTTTTTTGTTTTTTTTTGTTTTTTTTTTTTGAGACAGAGTCTCACTCTGTCACCCTAGCTGGAGTGCAGTGGCATGATCTTGGATCACTGCAACCTCCACCTCCTCAATTCAAGCAGTCCTCTTGCCTCAGCCTCCCAAGTAGCTGGGACTACAAGCACGTGCCACCATGCCTGGCTAATTTTTGTATTTTTAGTAGAGACGGTGTTTCACCATGTTGGCCAGGCTGGTCTCGAACTCTTGACCTTGTGAACCGCCCACCTCAGCCTCCCAAAGTGCTGGGATTACAGGCTTAAACCACCGCACCCGGCGATTATTTTTATTTTTAGTAGAGACGAGGTCTTGCTTTGTTGCCCAAGCTAGTCTTGAACTCCTGGGCTTAACTGATCCTCCCACCTCAGCCTCCCCAAGTGCTGGGATTACAGGCTTGAGCCACCGCACCCATCCTCTTCTGGACTTATTATAACTTGGTAGAAGAAAAATTGTGTCATTCATTTATTATTTATCTTTCTGAAAATGTTTATGACTTTCACGTTTACCAGCTAGAAGTCAAAGTTTACTTCTGTTACTTAGATCACCTTACAAGGTTGCTATGAGGATTAAATAAGATAGTGTATATGAAGGAGCCTAATTATATGCCTCTTTTTGGTAGGCCCTCAAGTAACATTAGTTCCCTTCCCCTAAGATTAGACCATATATTCTCAGCAAACATTTTAAATGCCAGGGTTCAGGCATTATTAATTTCAATTTTATTTTCTCATTTCAGCCGATCGCATGAACAGACTCCAGGCAGCTCTTGCCAGCACCCAGCAGTTCCAGCAAATGTTTGATGAGCTGAGGACCTGGTTGGATGATAAACAAAGCCAGCAAGCAAAAAACTGCCCCATTTCTGCAAAATTGGAGCGGTTACATTCTCAGCTACAGGAGAATGAAGAGTTTCAGAAAAGTCTTAATCAACACAGTGGCTCCTATGAGGTGATTGTGGCTGAAGGGGAATCTCTACTTCTTTCTGTACCTCCTGGAGAAGAGAAAAGGACTCTACAAAACCAGTTGGTTGAGCTCAAAAACCATTGGGAAGAGCTTAGTAAAAAAACTGCAGACAGACAATCCAGGCTCAAGGATTGTATGCAGAAAGCTCAGAAATATCAGTGGCATGTGGAAGACCTTGTGCCATGGATAGAAGATTGTAAAGCTAAGATGTCTGAGTTGCGAGTCACTCTGGATCCAGTGCAGCTAGAGTCCAGTCTCCTGAGATCAAAGGCTATGCTGAGTGAGGTGGAGAAGCGCCGCTCCCTGCTGGAAATATTGAATAGTGCTGCTGACATTCTGATCAATTCTTCAGAAGCAGATGAGGATGGAATCCGGGATGAGAAGGCTGGGATCAACCAGAACATGGATGCTATCACAGAAGAGCTGCAGGCCAAAACAGGGTCACTCGAAGAAATGACTCAGAGGCTCAAGGAGTTCCAGGAAAGCTTTAAGAATATTGAAAAGAAGGTTGAAGGAGCCAAACACCAACTTGAGATCTTTGATGCTCTGGGTTCTCAAGCCTGTAGCAACAAGAACCTGGAGAAGCTAAGAGCTCAACAGGAAGTGCTGCAGGCCCTAGAGCCTCAGGTAGACTATCTGAGGAACTTTACTCAGGGGCTGGTAGAAGATGCCCCAGATGGATCTGATGCTTCCCAACTTCTCCATCAAGCTGAGGTCACCCAGCAAGAGTTCCTCGAAGTTAAGCAAAGAGTGAACAGTGGTTGTGTGATGATGGAAAACAAGCTGGAGGGGATTGGCCAGTTTCACTGCCGGGTACGAGAGATGTTTTCTCAATTGGCAGACCTGGATGATGAGCTAGATGGCATGGGTGCTGTTGGCAGAGACACTGATAGCCTCCAGTCCCAAATCGAGGATGTGCGACTATTCCTTAACAAAATTCAGGTCCTCAAATTAGACATAGAGGCCTCTGAAGCGGAGTGTCGACATATGCTAGAAGAAGAGGGGACTCTGGACTTGTTAGGTCTCAAAAGGGAGCTAGAAGCCCTGAACAAACAGTGTGGCAAACTGACAGAGAGGGGGAAAGCTCGTCAGGAACAGCTGGAACTCACACTAGGCCGTGTAGAGGACTTCTACAGGAAATTGAAAGGACTCAATGACGCGACCACAGCAGCAGAGGAGGCAGAGGCCCTCCAGTGGGTAGTGGGGACCGAAGTGGAAATCATCAACCAACAATTAGCAGATTTTAAAGTAAGTCTTAACCTTGTTTTTCTTTTTCTTTTACATGTATTTATTTGCTTGTAACTTGGAAACCATTAGAGTATACATTTTAACTTCTGTCCCTAGTTCTATTATTGTCACTTCCATCACCATGAAAGCACACCGTCTGAAGACTAAATAGTCTCTTGGACTTCTGAGCAAACTGGTTTGAGCATTTTTCTTTTTTTCTTTTTTTTTTTTTGTCTGAGAGAGGGTCTCCCTCTCTCACCCAGGCTTGGAGTGCAGTGGTGCGATCTTGGCTCACTGCAGACTCGACCTCATAGGCTCAAGCGATCCTCCCACTTCAGCCTCCCAAGTAGCTGGTACCACAGGCGCCACCATACCCGGCTAATTTTTTGTATTTTTTGTAGAGACGAGGTTTTGCCATGTCTCCCAGGCTGGTCTCAGAACTCCTGAGCTCAGGCAATCTGCCCACCTCAGCCTACCAAAGTGTTGGGATTACAGGCATGGGCCACCAAGCCCAGCCAGAGCATTTTTCTATTGTAGTTTATTTCAGTCTTTATAACCAATTAAGGATATAGAAAGAAATGTCCAAGTCTTATCTCTTACTCTAAGAATTTCCTCTTAGGGTTTCTTGAGATTTCAGATTACCAGATTTTGTAATAGCAGTGAATGTATCTTCAGGTCTCTGTTATTCTTTTCTTTTCTTTTCTTTTCTTTTCTTTTCTCTTTTTTTGGAGAGAGAGTCTTGCTCTGTTGCCCAGGTTGGAATGCAGTGGGGCAATCTGGGCTCACTGAAACCTCCACCTCCCACGTTCAAGTGATCCTCCTGCCTCAGCCTCCCGAGTAGCTGGGGTTACAGGTGCTCACCACCACACCTGGTTAATTTTTATATTTTTAGTAGAGATGGGGTTTCACCATGTTGGCCAGGCTGGTCTCAAACTCGTAACCTCAAGTGACCCACCCACCCCAGCCTCCCAAAGTGCTGGGATTACAGGCATTAGTCACCGCACTCAGCCCCCTGTTTTTCAAATTGAGGTATGAAAAGCCCTAAGTTAAACATAGTCTCATCTTCGTAAAGTGTTATTTTTACACAGATTTTAGGGGAGGATATTGATGTATATTTGATATATTATGGAATAAAACATAAAATTATCATTAATTATTAAAATAAAACATGACACTTCAAATAAATCTCCCATTTATATAGTAAGCAGCTTAATAATACATCCCAGACTCCTCAAGAGTACAAGTTCTTTGCCTATAGGAGTGGTTGAGAAGTACTGCCTTAATTGCAAAAATACTTTAATTCTTTGCCTGAGCCAAAATTTCCAGTCCTGAGATTGTGTGAGTATAAATTAAAGTAACAGATGATTACATGACCCAAAAGTGTGGATTTACTGGGTTAGGAGCACATCTGTTGGATCTTGGCTCTCACTATATGAACCTTTTGCCCCTAGAGTTTTCTTTGTTGTAAATACCTAAAAGTCTCTCACTCTGCCACTGTACATGGAACAGATTTGGAAAGGATACTTCCAGCACTTTGTTTCCATCACTAGTTAACTATTCCTACTTACACAGTTAATACTCCCACCATTAAAGTAAAATTGTGATCTCAGAGACCTTGCTTGCCAGCGTTGTCTTAAAAACATGAATGCAGAGGTAATGTTGACACCAGCTCAGAGCCACATGGTCCTAGAGAGATCACAGTTTTGTAGACAGGATCCAAGTGCAAAAACGTGGCTGTTTCAGAAGGGCCCCTCTAGGAGCTTGGGGGAAATTCAGCACTAAAGTGTGACATTGGCTGAAGGCCTTCTTACCATGTTTGGAGATAGTACAATTTTGAGCAAGAGGAGTCATCATATTTGGGTTTCTTGAGGCACCCAGATAAGGAAAGGGTAGGTAGAGAAAACTTAAACCCGTGAAGCAGTGCATTCCTCTTAGAAACTCCCTTTCTAGTAGTAGTGTGGCTTTCCCTGTTGCACATTTTTCTTTCCTCTTTTGTTATAAGTGTCTCAAAAGCAGAGACTTTCTTCTACAGGTATGCTTCAGTTATCCAGTTTACTTGGATCCAGGCTATTTAGAATTCACCATCTAACCAACTAAATGAAGTTTTTAGAAAACTGAAACTTATCCTTTTAGGCTCCAAAATAGTTTTATCTAACCAGGTTCTGGTTTATATAGGAATTATTTTAAACTCAGTTTGCCTGATTTTCTAAATATGTATTATGCATAAGTTTTTTCTAATGAGTACAGGTTAACATTATTTAAATGGCTGTACTGTTCTATACTATGGTGATATTGATATTCTGAAAGATGTGAGAGACATTTGGGGCTGCTTTGTATTAAGTATTCCCAAATTACTGTGCACTTTGATTTCTATATTGAAGTTATTGTTTAGGGCCTCTATAGTATTATACTGGTTGGATTGGCTGTGCATGTGTGTGTGGAGAGGAAGAGGTAATTTCAGGATTTCTGCCCACCGCCATGATATTGGGTATTATTTCTTACGGCTATCACTCGTCACTGCTGTCATTTGGTCTGTGTAGTCTATTCCTCCCTTCTAATCTTCATTGAGCTAGAAAATGAGATAAACAGACCTGTTAAAATTGCATTAGATATGAGCTAAAATATGCAAAAGAGTCCACATGCAGGCATATTAGTGTTTGGGTTTGAGGACAAGTCATCTTTTCCTTTTCATTTAATCCTTGATTTCTAGAGACATTCTGACTTTTGATGTTGCTGGAAGATTTCAAAAAATTACTGGGCATTACTTTGTTTTATTTGTATCCTAGTATGTTGCCTAATAGTGCTCAGAGTTGAATAGCACTTAGTTGCTTGTCATAGCCAAATTCGTTTCACTGATTTCTAAAAATAAGCCTTCCACCTCAGATACTCTGGATGTGAAGGCTGGGACTGGACACTGATCGGCTGGGCTCTTGCAGAGTGTTTTCATCAGCAGTGGACTGGTGTTGACAAGACAAGCCTGGAAGAAGAGTGGGAGAAGGGAGAAGGGTGGTGGAGTGTCCCGTGTGTAGTCCATTGTCAAGTCAGTAGGTAGTTACCATAAAATGATCAGTATCCCCTCTCAAGTTGGGGATGCAAATCAAAAGCCCTGTTCTACCTGTCCACCTTGTAGGGAAGTCAAAAGCTTTGGAAAGAGTTTTTGCCTTCTCCCAGCAAAAGTCTTTGGTCAGGAGGGGAGGAGCATATTCTTGGCTGAACTCATGCTGAGCTCATCGGAAGTGAAAACAATGAGAGGAGAAAAATTCTGTGTGTCAGTTCCATAGTCCCCGGGAGGCCGCATAAAGGGAAGGTCTTTTTGGACCCATTCTGAGGACTGAGTCATTTTCATGATGTGAGTGTTGAGTTGCTGGGTTAATGTGTTATAGTCCAGCCACAGATTAATCTTTCCTTACTCCAGCAGCAGACCAGATTTATAAAGTATGACTCTGTTTTCAGATTCAAGTTATTTTTAATAAGGAAAAAACAAAGATGAAGATAAATATTTTTAAAAACAGCATTAACTGTAAGTTTTCAACTTTTTTCTTTTTTTAATGGAATCATACTCTTAGCACAGAATCTGCATAAGAGAAGAGGATATGAATCTGGGAGATGGAAACTCTGCTTTGACCCAGCTCACTTCATGGGAGATAGTCAGAATAGACAGATAAGTTAGGCCTGTGAAGAACCCCTAGTCTTACTTGGGACTGTACAATCGTGCTGATAGATCCGTGGATCTGCAGTCTGTGGGGAAAATTATTTCTTCCTTAAATGAAAGTGGAAAACTAAAATACATTATTCCTAGGAAAGGCTTTCCCTCAGTTGCTTCTGAATGATTAGTAGGTCCTCGCTGGCTGACCAGATTCTGTCACATGGGAGTAGAAGAGAGTTCTTTTCCACTCAAACCAGACAGAGACCTTAGGCTTCCTGAGTTAGAATCTTTACCAGGTTCAGCTCTCTGTTGGAAGTAGAAAGGAAGAAGCCATTCTAGAAATCACTAATGAGAGAATTGAGCTTGTTTTCAGAAAGCTGGAAAGAAAAGACTTTGGCTAATCTCTTCAGGAAATTCCGTTTTCCTGAACAAGGGAGTCTCTGGTTATTGAGGAAAAGGAATTGTATGTGTCTAACAGGAGGCTAACAAGAAAGGAAGGACCTTTTTATCACTGGAACTTCAGCCAAAGAATTCCCCTAGAGTGACCTTCCTGGGAATGGTTTAAAAAAAAAAAATCTATTAAGTCTCTGATGATAACAAGAGACTTTCCTCATTTTGAAATTCCCTATGTAGGTTTTACTTGAATTGAGATGATTCTGAATCTTAAACCAACCCCTGCTTTGCCCCCTGCTCCCCCCAAAAACCATGTGACTTCTCGCTCAGAAAGTATTTGATGGTTTGGGCATCATACTGGTGAACATTATCAAGAAACCTGGATGCACTTTCATTCACTCATTTTTCATATGTATTTATATTGCTGTGTATTCAGGTCATGCTTCAGACTTGGCATTCTACCTCTCAGTGATAAGAATGATCAGTGGGGCCGGGCACAGTAGCTCACGCCTGTAATCATAGCATTCTGGGAGGCCAGTGTGGGCAGATCACTCGAGCCCAGGAGTTCGAGACCAGCCTGGGCAACAAAGTGAGGCCCTTCTACAAAAAATAAATAAATTAGCCAGGCATGGTGGCACATGCTTGTGGTCCCAGCTTACACAGGAGGCTGAGGCAGGAGGATCACTTGATCCTAGGACATTGAGGCTGCAGTGGGCTGCGTTCATGCCACTATAGTCCAGTGTGGGTAACAGAGTGAGACCCTCTCTCAAGGAAGGAAGGGAGGGGAAGGGGAAGGGGAAGGGAGAAGGGAGGGGGAGGGAAGGGGAAGGAGGAGAAGGAGAAGGAAGGAGGAGAAGGAAGGAAGGGAGGGAGGCAGGAAAGAAAGAAGGAGGAAGAGGAGAAGAAGGAGGAGGAAGAGGAGGAGGAGGAGAAGAAGGAGAAGGAGAGGAAGAGGAAGAAGAAGAAAAGAAGAAAGGGAGGG